GGCTGAGGATGGCCCCTCTAGACTAAGGTGGCTGAGGACTCACCAGGAAACTCTAAAAGAATAAGTGAAGCAGCCTTCAGAAAGACCTGTCAGGTACTTTCAACTGGCCACTGACTGAAACTGTGGAACGGATATTGCAAAACAGATCCAAGGAGGCTTTGCACAAACAAACTGTATCATCCCTTTTCATTCCTTAACGTTCAACACCCTGAGGAACATGAATTCTAGGCCAGCTGTGGTCCATGCTCCTGGGGTGAAGATGAGGACACGTTCTGGTCAGCTCAGATTCTGCTAACAAGTGAACAACACCCGGCAGAGACAGACACGCCTCATAGCAGCAGCAAAGTTACTGAACACAAGTCACATCACCATTCATACTGGTTTTGCTGGTGCAATTATTTCTACATTCATTCTTCAAAGATTCACTGCAATACCATGGGAACTGACAGCCTTCACTATCCTGAACTTTGCAATAAGGAAGCTGTTTCACTTTATTAGCCACATTTGTCTAGTCTGAAATTCCAGGCTGCTGGGAATACACTGGCTAGAGTCTCACAGCACCTGGACAGGAGGCTGGTGCCAGTGGAGAAGATGCTAATTCCTGGAAAGAAAGCTCCTCTTGAGCTCTCCCTGAGGAATCAGGGAGGTCCATGGTTAGGGGTTCTTCCTGCAGGACAGGGTACAGTCAGGATTACACAGGGGGCATTTGCAAAAGGGCCTCATGCTGGCACTTGATTGTTGCATGAAATGTTTTTTTGATTACTTACATGCATAGAGAAAGTATTTTAGATGCTCCCAGTAATTCTATTAGACAGCTGCACCAACAAAAAATTGTTCTGTAGAACTGAGTATTATTGACTGTAGGTGGATAAAGAGAAGCTGTTTTAAATGCCTGATTTAACTGTTCTTTTGCCTAGACTTCACATTGGTTACAAGAACACGAGGTTGTAAACTAGCTCATCCTAAAACCTGAAAAGACATCTAAAAGAAAAATTTAAGGTCTAGAACACTCTTCTAATAGATTGGGTGGGATTTTCAGAAGCACCCAGCACTTGTCTACAACTCTGCCTGAAGTCTGTGTTGCAATGCCTGAGAGGGGACTTCAGCCAGTGTCAAGTGCTTCTGATGATCCCACCCCAACAGCAGCAGCACCACTGAAATGCTAAATGACAAGGGAGGGTTCAGTCAACAACTTCTAGGACAACTTCTACAACTACATTTTTTCTTCAGAACAAGTCTATTTTTCAGAACTACATGATGCCCAAATATGTGAGATGGAAGAGCAAACCACTGCCTATTCTACACAGGCTGCCCTCTGCATGCATAGAGGGTGGGTAGGGATCACCTCTGCATCTACAGTCCTTCCCTGGTATCTGCAGTTTCCCTCCTTACATCTCCATACAGGTGAATGGGAAGGCTTTGACTGGGACAACATATCATCCATTCTGCAAATCCCACAGGGAGTTAACTCCACAGGCAATATTACTTTTACTTACATGACTGAGCTGGAAACCACTGTAACTGAGCTAGAACTGAAATCTGGATTTTTACAAAGCTATTATCTCTCCTGTGGACTTCCAGGCTCTGCTTCACCACACTGCACTGGAACATCCAGGAATCCCTTTGTCCTTCCACTGCCCTTACTTTTTCCTCCTAAACCAGATGAGTGATACGGCTCATTTTAGGCAGACATCTATGCAAAATAAACTCAAAAATATTAATTTCAAGTCCTGGTTTGACTTTCTACATCGGAAATTTGTTCCTATGTGTAAATAACAGACCAAAAAGCTTAATCAAATAACCTGGTATCTCCCTTAAACAGGAGAAATGGGAAGATTGTTGAGATCCTGAAGAAAAGAGATGCCTCTGAAGAAGACCTCAGGAGCTCTGACTGAGCAGAATTCAGTTCTCATCAGTACCTGGCGATCAACGTTGATGAATTTCAAAGACACTAGAAGGATTTCCACAAATAAAAAGCATACAAGTATAAAACTTGCAAAGTACTGGACCTGGAAAGTTTATCTTAATATAGAACCCACTGTGGTACTAAAAATACTGCATATGTAGCCAATAAACAGTTTTATATTATCACAAGGACAGAGAACAAGAGTGTTGAACCAGAAATATCAGTTTGGACTCTTATCTATTTGGTAACTGGCAATTCTATTTAAATAAGGCACAAATATTAGCCTTTTTAAAAGATCACTGATAGTAAGTGGAAAAGATTCTGTATATTACAGAGTAAAAAATGTACCTACAGTTAAAATCAACATATATATATATAAGACTAAGCTATATCTGAACCCATACAAGGTTCAAAACCAAAAAAGACATACTATTTAATGATTGTAAACAAACTATGAGCTTTGTAAATAGTAAGGAAACAATGCAGCATAAGCACAGAAACATTTTGACTGAAATTAAAATAATTCTAAGTTGAATATTACCATCTTTTATTTAAACTGTTTACTTCTTTTCAGCCTGCATTTTCACTCTATGAAGCAGTGAATTATTACTATAATGCCTTAATTTTGAAAGATTCCACTATCAAACCTTCAATTTTGTGATCCTTATACAAACTTAAGAATACTGGCAGTCTCACATGGCTTCCATATTTATTTCACAAAGCTGAGAATGGGACAACCTATGTTATAATTTGTTCAGTGTCTAATCCTTATGTAAAGCCAGTAAGATTTATGCCAGTACTAGACAGTAATTTTTGAAAACCACTTTCTGGCAGCATTCCTGGACTTAGGTGTTTGATAGTTTTGAAAGTAATGATGGCCATAATTTCTGGGTTTTTTTCCTATTTTCCTCCTTAAAACATTGATACTGTTTAGCATCTTTAATAATGAAGGGAAAAAGCAACTTAGATTGAACCATGGATAGAAACATCATGTGAGGTGCAGAGGAAAAGAAAAGGTGAACTTTGAAATTCTCATCCCAAAATGCAAGGAGATGAATGAGAAGGAGTGAGATGTGCTACAAGAACCTGTGTATTGCCTGTCTCCTCAGACACAGCTGCAGCACAATGCTGGGCAATGTTCAGTACCAGCAAGGCAGAAGGATGCCCTCAAGTCATTAATGCCAGCTTTAAACAAGGAACTACCAAGTTGCTCTGGAGCTTTGTCATCTCAACAGCAGATGACACTTTGTCCAATCTAAACAGCACCTGGCCTGACCCACTTGGAAAGCTGAGAGTGAAGACTTTCATTATTTTTATGATGCTTTTGATTTCTAATAGTGCAAAATATTTTGCCAAGTAACATTTTTTGTTATTAAAAAAGTTCACAACATATCATGTTGATGCACAAGAGGAAACCAAAGGATAAACAAATAGTTTGGAGCACAGACCTCTGGATGTACAACTGCTGACTCTGGAACACTGAGGTTCTTCAGCAATGCAGATGCCCTCGAAAATGTTCCTGCTTGATCAGACACAGATATTTCTGCAAGATCTGCACTTTTACAACCTTTTAGCTTTGTTGCACTGATTAAGAAAAATTAATTCTGGAGGCTCATGCTCAGTGGTAAGGACTGGCCCAGCCCTTCTCATTCTGGAAGAAGATGAAACTCCACACTAACAAACCCCAGGTCTCACCCTAATAATCCTCTCTGGTGAGGTTCCAAACGTGTCTCTGCCATGACAGGGAGCAATTCCCTTAGGTCAGCTGCCTTGCAAGAAAGCAGCCAGAAAAAACCTTCCCATTTGTGTCAGCTAGAAGGTAAATGAATTCATAAATCTCAGTGAGGCAACTGATATGAAACTCTGCTACAAACTACTGTTAAGATATTAAAGCACAATCTGACCCAAATATCAGCCCCAGGAACGGGCTCACTCAGGCCTAGGCTGAGATTAACAGAAATCATTCATGCCAAAGTGGGAAAGAAAAAAGGTTTCATGACCTAGAAAAGCAGGAGAACATTCTTCATAGGCAGGGTTCATTTTATACCCATGTGCTCTTTCTACCAACTTTACCACAAATATCCCTCAAAGCTGATGATTCCAATCTGCTGAAACAGATTAATTTTTCTGTCCTGAGCTGTTGTGGAGACAAGGTATGTATGGTGAAGTGGAAAAAGAAAAGATGAAGAAAATTTTAAAAATTAAAGAGCTGCTCCATATAGCATCAAAAATGTTCAGATTTTAAATATCCAAATATTCACCAGGAATACTGCCAGAAGGACAAATGCTTGTTCTAAATCCATTATACATCAGAACTGTTTCTTCTTCTTCATTGAATTTAGAAATAAGTTTTTGGTTGTCCATCTTGGCTAAAACAAGAGTTGGATATATGCAGTCTCAAACTGAATCTGTAAATTTAGCTTTCTAGTGTTACAAATTAGGCACAAATTAGTTTTCCAACTATTAAACTGCAGAAAATAAAAAAAATAATAGAAATCTATCAATTCCACTTACACTTTCCTTTCTGGGAATTTTTAGGTGAATTAGTCTACCTAGGGAAACTGATAATGTGTCTTTAAAGTGTCTTAGTTGTAAACAGAAGTCAATAAACGTCACATTATAATTCAGCACTTCATGTACTTCATAGAAGAGAAAAAAACACGTGCTATCTTTTTGAAGTCTGAAAGACAGAGCCACAGTTTTAGTTTGGAGTAAGTTCCAAGTTATAGTCACAAGAAATTCCTTAATCTAAAAAAATCTCCTTCCCTCCCCCCACCTTTGCTGAAGCAAATTCCTGCCATGGAAAATCATTATTGCTGTTTTGTAGATTTGCATTCATCTTCTAAGACAGTTAAACCCCTTCTCAAAAGATTAAGGCAATTATTATTCATTACAAATATTAACATTTGTACATTTCAGACAAATCAGATTGCTTGGTTCATTTCATGCTAATGGGATTAACACAGTACCTTCAAAACCTGGCTACCTTTAGGCGAGACCCTTGCTGCTTACAGAAGCAAGTGCTAGGAAGCACCATACACTTGCTGTATTTTTAACACAGAGACTGACTAGTACCTGATTTGAGAGTGCATTCATATATTTAGTTCCATTTTGTGGACCTAACTACAGCCAACAAATGAACTGAGTAAACATAGAAGCAGATGTCCAATGGCAGAAAATGCATACTCAACTGAAGAGAATTATTTTTATAACTGAAGATCTTATTCCTTTTCATTTTTTTTTGGTTATCATGTTATATGGAGTTATATGGAGTCCTGAGTAGTCTCCCTTTAACATCTGATGGGAGTCAAGTTTCTCTTCTCATACTTTTCTTACGTTTTATTTCCACTGCTACTGCTGGATAAGCTATCCTTTGAAATATTTAAACCATAGTGAAAAGCAGAATTCAGTTTACACAATGACACCACTTCTTGAAGAAGTCCACCTTCTTCTGGAGTTTCATCTCCTTCTTTCCCAGCTTTCTCCCAAGGGACCAGAATGGATGGCTGTTGAGCAAGACCTGCTGGGAGCTGATCTTCTGAGGTATTGCTTAGTGTTTCATTAGGCTTTGCATACTGACAGGAAGAAAAGCCTGCTTTGAAACTTTCTAGGGAAGCAAACTGGGCACTTGATTGTACTGGAGACAGGGATGTCAAACTAGTGGTGCCCATCTTGTCAGTGGTAAAGGTTTTGCCACTCTTTTCTTCTTCCACCTTTGAGAGAGATTCTCTCTGGCCAGCAGAAGAAACTTGCTTCCTTGGTGATGGGGGGAGCTGCTTCCCATGGAGGACACTGTCATCCTGGCCCAGGTTCCACTCTGCCTGCTCATTAGCACTGCTGCAGAGCAGGGTAAGGTTGCTCTCACTAGGTGCATTTGACTTGTTCTGAAAGAAAAAAAAACACATATTCATAGTTAATGTCACAAGAAACATCTCTACACTGGTATTTTTGAAGCACACGTACTGGAAGCGATACATTCCTAAATAATGGATTCCCTTTGGAGCTCAGTGTTACAAAACAACTACCCCACACACAATGCAAGGCCAGGTGTTTTTACATTTCCTCACAGAACACTGGCTCTTAGCCTAAGGACTGCCACTGGTACCACAAAGTGGAAGGACTTCTGTCTCCTCTGTCCATTCAGTCTTGGCACAAGTAGTTTTGACAGTGAACAAAGACACACTTTTCTCGTTTGTACCCATAATATGAGAGGCAGGGGGACTAAAACTAAAACCAGATGGTATTTCCTCTTTGCTTCAATAATTAATTATATCAATTTTCAGTATTAAAGATTTTCGGTCAAACAAAACTGGGCCTTTTATTAATCTAACCACTGTGTGATACTCATAATATAAAATTTTACAAGCTTTATAAATATTTACTTCAATTTTCTGTGCTCCAGTAACAAATCTTCTACTATAGGATCCCTTTCAGCAAAAAGTAAGCATTGGACAGCTAATATGTGCTGGAATTCAAAAACAATAAGCTTTTTTGGCAAATACCACAGCAGTGACTTGGTGAGGCTTTTAAAACTGTAGGCAAGCAGTGTGTTTACACTAAAGGACCAGTACAACTCTACCTAAAATAGGAACAAGTAGCCCCCTTAGAAAACTCTGGAGTACTATTCTAGCAGTGTTTCAGGTGCAATTACCACCTGGATCCCACGACTTAAATCAAGAAGGAAACATCATCATATCACTATGACTAGTCTAAGTCTACAAGGTGAAAATTAAAATGCCTTCTAAACTGCATTAAAGAATCCTAAACCAGCTCAAGGCATATCAGATTTTACAGGAAAAAAAAATAATATTAAACTATTTGATTAGGTAAATTATTATACTGTTCACAGCTCTCTATGTGGTTACTACTTTAAGGGAAAAGTACTGTTCCAAGATGACTTAGTAACCTGGACAATTTCTTGCCTGGCCACAATGCAGTGGCCAGCATGAGTGTACTGTTATATACAGCCCCAGGAAGACACATCAGCAATTCTAAGGACTGTGCTGCAGTGTCTGAGCTGCATGTTGTTCATTCCACAGGTGCAGGATTCCACTGCAAATGGACTTGGGTTGGTTTTCAAATGAAAGCAGGAGACTAACCGCTGTCTTGTAATCAATGTCATCCATTGATCTAAAGAAATCCAGGCTCTTTGCTCCTGAGAGTTTTCCTTGATCTGAACTGTGTGTACTCAGCGTGTCCAGAATCTCTCCAAGCAAGTCCATTTCTCCTTGATTCTGAATTATTCCAGTTTCACCAGAACCATCACTATCATAAAAGTAGGCAGAAGCTTCTTCACTGTCTTCTGATGACAACCTGGAAACAAAACTTTTCCATCAGATAAGAACATAAAACCCATTTTATTATAGCCACTTCTAAAAGGACATAGGAGAATGCATTTCAAAACCTTTGAACAGGAAAATAAACCTGGAATATCTTTCTACTCAAGAATGTTTCTGAACACAGATACAGTGTTGATGGAGATGCAGTTACCATTAGCTGCCTCCTGGCCTAGCCAAATACTTTGTTCTAGTGGCAGGACTCTCCTACTACAACTCCTTCTCCATCACATGGGCAGATTTACTGAAGTACTGCAAGGAGAACTGGTGCTTTTGTCTCTTATTTCCTCTCTTGTTCATTGCAATACCCATAGCTCAGATCCCCATTCTTTTTCTACCTCTGTCTATCAATACTGCTACAAAGGTTGTTTTCCATGGCTCATCCTTTCCATATTTTCATTATAACCTTTTAACACTTCACTAGCTCCCTCTTCTCTACTATATCACAGCTTAAGCTGCTTGATTTTGCTTTCAATGTCCTTTCTGGTTTATATCCAGATGTTCATTATCAAGAATCGACTCCTGAATTCAGAAAATGCCTCAATGCAGCTTAAGCCTCAACTTACAGTTTTCCTTTAGTTCTCACATAGGAAAACCTCAATATAAAACTGCCAAGGCATTATTTGTCTTTCAGACCCTTCAAAAAATGTCCCATTGTCATGGCCACAACACCAGCCTTAAAGAATAGATTAGCTGAGGTCACTGCCCACCATGTTGACAAATATTTCACTGTTTCTTTGTGTATGTAGCCCTTTTATATGGAGGCTGTGAAGACTAAGGATTATATCAAGCTTTTCTGGACACTACAAATAATAAAAGAAAAGATATAATAGCCTGTCCCTTTTTTAAAGCAGATATAAATCCTAACCTACTTGACATCATCTAAATCAAGAATTGAGCTAGCAGCCTGGACATGAGAAAAATGTGTCACTTGAACTCCACTTTGCTGAATAACACTAGTTACCCTCTCTCCTGTACATACATAACACATCCAAACAGGCTTCTTACTTGCTTGTTCTCTCAATTTCATCATCATCATCTTCATCCAAGGCAATATCCTGGTTACTGAGGCGCTGGTTGAAACGAGTCTGGAGGAAGGACAATTAACATTATAAGTTTGTTTATTTTTTTTCTATTTCAGCATTACTTAGTTGGAGACCAGCTGCCACTTTACTCATTAAGGCTTCTGAGCACTTGATGAGGAAAACCACATATTGATCAAGTCTTGTAAAGGTTGTTCCAAGTCCTCAAGCATCACCAATTAAAGAGAACCATTTCTCTTCATGGCCTGTGGAGGGCCTCCTTATTTATGCAAAGCCTGGAGTGCTTTATTATTTATGCAATGCATTGATTAGCAGAAGACTGGATACTGGAGGAAAAGCATCACTCAAGTCCACCAGCTACCCTTTCTTGAAAGCACATCACAAAAAGCACTGGGGTTTAATACTTTCTGGTAGCAATATTTGCCAAGCTTTGGTTCACGTGGTCTATTGAGTATGAAGAAAAATTAATTTCTGAAATAGCAAATACAAAAGAAGTTGGGAGTCTCTTTACACAGCTATGTTTATGTTATGGTGCTGTGCAGGACTGCACAGTAATTAATATCCAGATCAGAAACTTTGCACTAAGAATGCAGGATAATTTACTGTGGATTACAATTAATTCCAACACAGTGCAACCTCAGGGCAACCCAAGAGGACTTTGCATGGAGGAGCTGGTGTGCTGTAAATTCACATATTTCTGTACAGATTACTCACCTATTACATCACATTATTATTCAGCAAACAAAAACAGCCTAAAGAATTCCACAATAATTGGAAAAAAGTCTCTGTGCTGACCAGAACACTTAAATCAGGAATTTTAGTCACTTGTACTTCACAAATGACTGTCTTCAGAACTATACATCTCTTATCCTTGTTTTGTATCAAAAGCTTTTCATATAAGAAGTTTAATTATACTGGCAATCAATGCACTGATGAGATTGTGAACCCTGGATAGCCACTATTACTTTATAGACACATGGATGGAATTTGTCAGAGGGAAAACAGTGTTAGCTAACTTTGAGGAAAATCATACACAAGTAAGAAGTGCTACTGCCCACATCTCATCATGCAGTTCACCAAATGCCTAAACCTGCAACAAGTCCCTGATGGGGAAGAAATATGGCCTTAATTTCAGACTACAAGGAGCTTGACAATCCTCTACTGTGAGGATTTCAGTGTGTTACCTATTACAGATTTTGTCAGTGTTCTACAAATACTAGGATGCTCTCTGTAACTCCCCACCCCCCCCCAAGAAAATTCTGACATGACATTCATTCAGTAATTCAAACTTTAACCTGGAACTGGCTCCTGGAGGGCAAAATCCTCTCTGCCTCTCTTATTTTCTTTGAATTTTCATCAAAATTAGATGCTGCCATCACATTTACTCCTACTAACATAAATATGAGATTTTGCAGGGAAGAAAGTTCTTTAAAATGTTGAGAAGTTGCAGAAAACAAAATGGAAACTGACACTTGTTCATCTGTAGAGGAATTAGCTCTGTCAGTGAATAAAATTCTACGAGATAACACTGGCCGATTTGTTGAAACAATAATATTTCAAAGAGGACAGATTCAAGGTTCAAGAAAAAAAGGGGAAAAAGGTATTTGAGAAACAGGAGCTGAATAAAATTTAGTAGAATCAGCAAACATCACAGACATTGATCATCACAGAACATCTATGAACAGTTAGTGAAAGCACAAATAATCATATAAAGGAATGTAACAGACAAGTTGATAAACCTAAAACCTCCCTTCAAAACAAGAACTCCTAGCTCCTGATGGTCAAACTCTTTGAAAAAACGTTTTTGTTACCAATTTAAATGATTAGGGGTATATTATAAAATTATACAGGGAGACTTACAACAACTAAACTAAATAAAATAGGATTTACATACAAAGAAAAAGATATGGGGGAAGGGAAGGAAAATATCTGGCTGTAAATAATGACCTTCTCCAGCATTTACAGCCCTGTGAGCTAACCACGGAGACAACAAGCAACACATGTTTTTGAATAGGTGACTTTCCTTTAGGAGCTGTAATAAAAACGACTGCAAGGGAGGGGTATGTCCAGACTACTTTGCAAAGAAAGAAAAAGAAAGAAAGAAACCCTTAATAAATTTCAAAAGGAGAGCCATAAAACTTTTTCAGTGCTCCACTAGGCAAAGTGACAGAGTACGTGCACCTGCAAAAACTGTCAGAGTCATTTAAGAAGTCCTTCCATTACTGACGTACCCTGCTGTTTGCAGTTATTTAAGCTTTTAATTTCTGTCTTTTCTGCATTTTGAAGTGTGTAACCTTTTTTATACCCCTTTATGAAAAAAGGACAGACTTCTGCTTCCTTCCTGATTAGCATCCTAATAATAACCAGACCATTTAAATTTATTACCACAAGAAATGATATACCAACAGTCCTTTCTTGCTGCACCAGAACTTTATAAAGTCTTAATAGACTGCTGTCATGTTTTTTTCTATAAAATAAAGGAACAAACTTCTTTAAAGTACCTGGTTGTTTTGCTTCTTCCAAACAGTTCTGCTTAGATATTAAATCTATTACTTAATGTATTTTCTTTATATCATGACAAGGACAAGGATTCAGCTTTTGCTGTTTCAAATTTCTCTCACCTTCTTGCACATGGCATCTCTCATCTCTCATTTTGCTCGGAATGTAAGAGCTGAGCACACTTAAACACAAGCTCATGCTCTCCATAACCTGGTGTGAGGCTACATATTCTTTTTGTCTTTACCATACCCATCCTCTCTGGTTGCTGCCCTGCTTCAAAATCTCCTTCTGCAAGTAGTCTGCAGCCTGAACCAATGCTGATCACTGAAATAAGGAAAAGGAGCTGACAGTATAAACACAGTAGACTCAAATAAAGGGAGAGTCAGTCCTTAAACTGCTCTCTTCTGCTTGCTGGTAGCCTCACAAAATGTACTATGATGGAATAAAAATGCCAAAATATGTGAATGCTAAAGGAGTTAAATGTAAGACAGTTATATTCTTGATTGGGCATGAAAGTCAATCTTGGAAATGTCAGCTTTTTATATAATGCTAGACCTTTCAGATGTCCAGCTTTTGGTAATGAGTGCTTATTGATTGATACGAAGGCAGGAAGTTTAACAAGGCTGCTGCTATTAATTACACTCAAAGTGAAAAACAAATAATCTTTTGATAAATGGCAGCACAAATATAATTTCACATTCACTGGCTACTCAATACATCAACACATATAAAGTTTCAAAAAAAGAAAAATATATATCATTGTTTAAATCTTAAAAATTTCTTAAAAATTTAGAGATTATTCATTCAGTATGAGAAAGCAAAATAAATACAAGCCCACTGTTATTTATGATTCAGTATTTTACTTTACTCATCCTCCTCTACAACCAAGTCACAGACATAATTGTGGCTCCATGCAGTAGGGAAGCAAAAGATGTCTCAATGAGACTTTCCAGTAAAGCACAACCTGTCACCTTCCATGACTCACAGGAAGGTACTCCTCATTACACTCCCCAAGAGCTGAGACTGATGAAAGAAGGAGGAAAGCAGAGACAGAAAATAAGTACAGATTCTAATCAAGACTGCTCTGACATCAGAAAACTGTCCTGGATATAAATTAAAGAGATATTACCAGAAATATGTGTAGAGGCACAGTGCTTTGAAATGCCAGGTACACTTTAATGCCACAGAGATCTCCAGTGCCTATTGGAAAGCTACAGGAGACCCTAATACCTATGCTGAGGTAGGATTTATGATAAGTAAGGGTGATTAATTTGTTGAGATACTTAGTCAAGGATAGCACATGTAATTACTTTTGTTCTGAATTACTGTGGTAAAAAATGAACAAGGTGCCACCTCCCTTATGCATGCTAAACTCCTGAACACAGGTATCATTTGAGAATTGTGTAATGCTGCTTTTCCTTTTTAACAACTAATCATCCTTCTGCAAATATTTCTTCAAAAATAGTTACATTTTGGTCCAAAACAAGCAGCCTTCCACTTTCCCAGAGGAATCACAGACCCTTTTTTCTTCAGGAAGCCTGAGCCCCCCGAATCAGCCTGAGGTGCCCCACTGCCCAGAGTGAGGCAGCACCTCCCAGCAGGCAGAGCCCGCTTTCCTCAATGGCACCGGGGCTATTCTTAGCACAGCATCCCGTTTGAAGTGATGATGCACCGTGGCACTGTGCCACACACCATCCTAGCTGCAAGGAGTGCACCATCCAAAGGCAGTCTGGCTTCACTTTAATTGGCAACAAGCACAAGTGTTAGTCTTTTAAAATAGGACGTGGAGATTTGCAGTGCCATTTGCAACAACTAAAGCCAGCAGCTCATTTTTTGTGCATGATTTTAAGAATCAGATTCACCAGGCAGAATTTGCAGTTACAAAAACAGAGAAATATATCATTTATTTTCCCTTTTCTGATGGTTATTAATGTCCCAATGTACAGTGATTAGATGGAAGGAAACTGATAGAATGGAGGGCTGACGGGGTCACAGTGGACACAAGAGCAGGAAGGGAAAGGAGAATGTGTCAGAAAACAAAAACTCAGTGTCCAAAGCCACACAAATGTTTATATGAACAAAACCAGAAAAGGGAACAGGGACTTGAGGTAACAAGAAAGTCAAGAGACCTGGAAGTAGCTCAGGTGCACAGTGTGGGACTTCAGTGAACCAGCAGAGCTGTAAATCCAGTTTATTTGGCTGGAACGTGCTATCTATTTGATACAATTCCTAAGCAGACAAAAGAGACTACTGGCTAAATTGATCTTTTGGGTAAAATGTGCATTATACCCTTACATCAGCAGAACTATGCCATGGTACCATCACTGCTGAGAGCACCATTTGCTGATCATGTGTGACTTTCTCAGAAGAAAACTTATCAAAAATACGTAATTTAAAATGTACAAAATATGGATGTAATTGCAAACGCAAACATCCTCCACCTCCAGACTTCAGCAGCACCAAACCCTGTCCATCAGACATGGACTGTGGAAGATCCTGTTTGGGGAAAGTTCCATATGAAGCTTGCAAACAGACTAATCACATTT